CCTCCATTCAGTCCCTGGTCCTCTGAGGGCATCTGTACTTAGTTCAATTCCCTTTTGAGCTCATTGCATCCCTGAGATGGCCACTCTGGCCCCTTTAGGACTTCTCTAATCCATGTGATGATGCCTCTTTTTCTGTCAGTACCTTTTCCAAAGCCATCTTTGTGCTCCACAGAAGTCTTTGTTTTCTGTCTTACAGTAAGTTTCTATTTGGTATCCAGTACCCCAGAGATTTCTAGCATCGACTCAGATCTTGAGTTTTTCAGAGAAGGTGATAACCTTCATCTATTTTTATCGACACATCTCCTGTGGTGTTTTTTGTTGTGTTTTGCAATTCCTGTTTGTTCTAGCTACTTAGGTGTTAATTAGGCTGCTTCATGCAGTTTCTGATACATTTCTTGTATTTCCATGGGGGTTTTGTGTTTTCTGTCCTTTGGGACTCAACTAGTTCTGTTAAGGGAATCAGTTGGAGAGGCTATTGAGGTGACTCTGAATTGTCAGTGATTTACAGTAAATTACTTACTTTGCAATGGAGATATTTTTGAGAAGGGATTCTTAGACGATCTAATTCTGCTTTGTCATTCAGTCCTGTTCAGAATGTAGTTCGGGTAGAAGTTAGGTAGCATGAGCTACCCCATAGCATTTTGGTATTTTTTTATAGGAAACTAAAGCACACAATATTTTAATAATAATTTTGTTATTGCATTTAATGAACTACTTTCCTACATAGCTTAGTATGATATCTATCTTACTCTATCTACACCCCAGAAAAATTAAGTTTAATTCCCTGTCCAGTCACATTGCTGATCCAATAGATGTAGTTGTAGTAAAAGAGCAGGTATCGTCGTTTCCAGTAAGGGTTGCTTTCTCTGCTCTGTGCTTTGTATGCTGTAAATTTAAGGCAGATGAGAAAATCTGATGCCACTCTTCTGTCTGCCTTTATGCCTTCTAGTGGTTCACACCTCCCCTTTCCCAGGGGACTGTGAGAAGGGCTCCTCAAGGAACATGTCCCACTCCTGGGCCGCGCTGGTGTCAGTGCCATGCTGTGCCTGCAGCTGATGGTGGCTTTTGAGCTGTTGGGGCGGGTGTGTTTTGACCTGTCAAGGTTCAGATGCACATATAGTAGAAAGTACACTTCTATATAGGAGGGTTTTTTTGGGGGGGATGGGGGGTTCATGTCAGTAATTTTGTATTGAGTGTTCAGGGGTAGCAAGGTGGTTTAGTAGTATGCATTTTTTTTCTTATTCTAGGTGCATTGCATTTTCCTGGAATTCCTGACTTCATTGAAGATGGAACACTGATTTTTTTCACCAGCTTTGCTGTATACTCTGTAAGTTGCTGGTATCATCTCTCTTAATAGGACTGATGGTGAGATGTTCTACCAAGGGTTAGGGTGAGCATCTTGTATGCATCTGTATATGGATTTTAGCATTTCTCAAGAAAGTGGCAGGGACGTAAGGCATATTGTCTTTCAGGGTATGGTACAGCTCATTGCCTATCCCAATGACCCAGAGAGTAACATGTTGTCCCTAGAACCTTTGCAGCTTGTGGCAGGCCCCTCAAAGATTATAAGGGTCAGAACTTCACTTGTTTTGTGGGCCTGTAGCAGAGTCCAGAGTCTGTGGGAAAGTGGAAGATAAGAGGTGTCCACAGAACACAGACCACGTCTCTGAAGAGCAGTTCCTGAGAAGTGGTCAACGCAGGGGTTCAGAGGGTGCAAATGCAGGGCAGGAGCTGTCAGGAAGGAGTGGGGTTCCTTCCCTGACAGTTCAGGAGAAGAGAAGGGGTTTCTAAAGTTTTGGGACTGGGGGATAGTGGGGAAAGGGAGGAGGGTTCATCAGCTTTTTTTAGATTGGTTTTGCAGTTAGGTTTACGTGTCAGTGAGGTCTGTTCTGTTTTAGTCTCTCTGCAGCTGACAGGAGGTACAATAAACTCACAAGAGAGACAGTGTAAACCTTCCAGGCCTCCGCGTCGCAGTATACAGGACTGAACGTCAGACGAGTGTCATCTTGGAAAGCATTAGGTACATTAAAAAATACCCTCCAGAAGTCTTAGGTCTCTTCTTCTCTGTTCCTTTTACTTACTTCATTCCCTGACTTAATTTTTGCACTCATCCCTTCACCATCCTTCCAGATGTCACAGTCGCTGTTACTTAGAGGCATTGCCTAGGCACTTATTTCCAGTGCAGTTTTGTCACTGTCTTCCCTGGAATTCCTTAGAGAAGAGGATGTGTATTATTTGTGCTCGTAACAATCTCCAGCCAGAGGGCTGTCTTTTATCCCAGTCCTGGGCATGCAAGCTTTTTCTATGATTCCAGTATTGCCTTTTTCCTTAAGTTTCCCATGGGGTTTAATCTAATATCAGTCATGGCAGTTACATTCTCTTGTTCGTGTTTCATGCCCCCCCGCCACCCATTTCGTGCCTGCATTCACAGGAAGGGGACACGCGGCTGGCAGGCAGGGGAGAAATGAGGAACACGTACTGCAAGCATGAGTTCTTGTTTCCAAACAAGGAACAAAATACTGGCAGCAAGTTGCATGAAGTTTTCTGCTTAAAGCTGGTAAGGTCCCTAAGCCACTGCACAGAGCTGGTGGGTTGAAGATGTGGGACGTAATGGCAAAATAGGTCTTTCAGACCCTGATGGATTGTTGAGCCTCTTAGAATGGACAATGTGTGTGTTGTTTAGAGGTAAAGCAATGATCTGTGGCTTCATCAGTGCCCAAAGGAGCCTAGCTTTAATGGGGTGTGTTTGGATGTTAATATGGTCTTGTTAACAAGTTATTACTTGACAAATTACTCTGAATCAAACATGTCAAAGCAGTTCTCTTGGCAAATCATACCACTTGCAGCAGTCCCAAGAATTCAGTTATTTATGTAGTGTTTCCTGTTTGTCAAGTATGCATTTTAACTGATGATATCTAGTCTTAAGTTCTAAACTAAGATCTCAAATCTCTCCAACCACAGATTTAGCAGTAGCGATAAAGAAGAATTTGCAAAAGTGCAACACATGCATTTCTTGCTAGGGCTGTATTCATTTTACATGTTACTGTAACTTCAAGCTTCCCCCTGTGTAATAAGAATTTTAATCAGCTTCAAACATTGAAGGATCATTCTCCAAGCATTGAATTTGGTGTCTTATTACATAGCTATTGTGTTTAAGGTCCCAGCTCAGAGCCTTCAGATTTCCTCACAGAGTGCATCCATCCTGACTTAATCTGAATATATTTTGAGTATATTCCTACTCTACAAGTTTTCAGTTGTGTTTGGGGGAAGGCGAGGACCTGTAACTTCAGAAGCTTATAAAGAACCAAGTGTAGTAATAAGTAACAATACCAGGATGAGCTGCTTCTAGCCTGTGGGAAACTGTGAAGTTATTACTTTATTAACTTTTGCTTTCTTGTCTCTGCTGCATTGGATTTAATGTTGAGTAAAACAGAAGTTTCCCAAACTGTTGTCTGTTGAAATGATGTGCACCTGCATCCTGCATGTTTTTCCAAACATTTTAAGGAGTCAGTAGCCGCTTGTGACCAACCAGCTCAGAAACAGATCTTTTTTTTTTTTTTTTTTGGCTTGATGTTAGTGTTTTTCCTGAGGCCGATGTAACTCTGTAATGGAAGCGTTTTCTAAAGCCTGAATTGTTTGTTGAAACAGTGTAAGCAGAAGTAGATTTCTGGTGATGTTTCCCCTCTGACTTTTATATTAAATACCCAGATGAAATCTTGGGTCACCAATAGATTCTTTTAAGGTTATTCATTTCTATTTCAGTCTGGGTCTTGGAGGGTCTAAAGTCACATCGTATGAGTGTTTTGCACAGTAAGTGAGCAGTTTTGCTATTCTACATACTTTTTTGTTTTTAAAGTGTACAATTGTGTATTTGAATTAATTAACTTATGTTTTCAACTTGATATGCTGTCACGATGGGGTTTTGAGGCGATGAAGAGCCAAAGCAGAAGGATGAACTTGCTGTGTCCCACTCAGGAGAAGCTGTAGGTCCGGTCTCTTCTTGCTGGCATTGTGCACAAATTCTGTTCTGCATGACTGTACGGAGAGAAATGCAATAGCTCAGCCATATCCTGTTCCCTCTTTTCATGAAAATTAAGGGAAAACCTTAGCTGATAGTGAATGATACCTCTTTTTTTCCCTCCTTTTTGGTTTTAAAATATTTAAAGTCAGAGAGTCTTTTATCCATATAAAGCTGCTCCAAAACACAGGATAACTTTTTGAACTTGCGCATATTTTGCTTTTGTGGATTGGAGAGAAAAGTTATTCAGGGCTAAAATACTGCTGTTTTTTAAACTTTGTATTTCACAGATAAAATTCAGCGTAACATTTCTGAGGGTCTGTGTGTTTCTACATCCTATGCTGCTGAGAACTTGTATTTTGTATGTTAGCCAGGAAAAGGTTTGTACTGCAGAATTTTAAAAACACCAGAAAACTACAAAAAGTGACTGAGCGCTAGAAAAGAACTGTACTCTTATTTGGTAAACTTAGAGTATTAATGGGATGAAATATCTGAATGCTCTTTTAAAAATTTAGGATCCACTAATAGAATTTGGTTATTCCAGCTGAAGTCCAGAAAATCTTTCGTGTGGTCAACTGCACTGCTTGGAGTAAGAGCAGTAGGTCAAGTCATTAATTCTTAAATGCTTGTTAATAATTTTTTACAACTTGCACATAATTTAGATCCTCTAGAGCTGATTAAAACTAGCAATAAAAGGGCTGGAACAATTCCCATCATCTTTCAGTTGCTGGCAATATATAATTCAATCATGGTACAAAATCTGTAAATATAACTTCAAGAATTTGACAGTTTGCACATGGAAAACTTTTGCTGTTACGTAATTCAGCAAAAGGCCCTTATCTCGAGTACACGTGGCTGGCTGCTTTGGAAAATTGTGTGGCGTGGGGAGAGTTAATGCGTGGTGGAGGAAACACGTGTTGCTGCAGAGCAATAAGAAGGCTCTGTTGTAGAGCATGCAGTAGTGGGAGAGAGGGTTGGAAAGCAGCTGTGCTCATCGAACCTGGCTAGGACTTTGGTCCACAGTAAGCAACATGAGAAATCAGATAGACCTGCTGGCCACTGTCACAGTTTTGGGAGTCTTGGAGCAAGGTAAATGTCCTTTATATAATGCTAGGCAGTATTAAGCCAATTATATTAAACTTTGTGGAACTTGGTTCCTGTATTTTGCTTGGAGTCTGTGTGGAATGAAAGTTGCTCTTTTCCAATATAGTAAAATGATGCCAATGTTTGCCCGTTCATGGTGGAAGTGCCATGGCTGAGGATGTTCATTATTTAATAGGGACTAAAATGATTTGCAAACCTCAAAGCCAGCATCCTGGAATGAAATGAAATTTAAGTTTTACTTTTAAACTTCAAACAATTTCAACAATAGAACGTCTTTAAAGTAAAATATTTTCTGTGATTGAATTTTAGCCGGTAATTTGTAACTTAGGGTGGCTGGAGGTAGCTAAAAGAAAGGCAGATTAATGAATACGCTGAAGGGGTCAGTGTATGTATGTATATAGAAAAGAGCATCATGTATGCATGTATTTCTCCTCTGTGACCAATATCATTATGTGCTCAATTCGTAGAGCTTAGCTGCGTGGAGCAGATGACAAGATGAGTTGACAGCACACAGTAATTTGGAAACTAATGCAAGCCCTTCTGGTCAGAAATAGACACAGATATCTTCAAAGAAGCTCAGTGACTTCTCTTAATTTGAAAAGATGTGTCTGGTTTAGACAATTTAGAAAGAAACAGTAACATTGCCAAGCTCTGTCTACTTGTTGTGTTTAGTTGTTGGTCCTTTGGGCAAAGGCCTCTACCCCTTGGGCTTCAGGAGGGTCACAGAAGGGGACGCTGCCCCTGCCTGGGGTGGGGACAGAGCCCCCATTTTATTAAAATCTTCGCATTTCATGATGGAAGGCTTGTTTGTGGGGTTTTTTTATTACTGAATTAATTCACTGTAGAGCTATCACACCTCTTTGCTTACAAATGGATATGAATCTCTGAGCAGCCCAATGTATTTTTAGCCATCAGATGATAAATCTCTTAATATAAACATTATTTAAAACACAAATATGCTACTTGAATTTTTGAATTATTAGTAATTTCCTCTCAATTTACAGAGAAATATCAGCACTCCCAAATGGAAGATACTTTTGTCTTATGAATTTTTTTATTATTAAACTAAGTGGGGATGGAGGGAGTGTTTAGTGCGCAAAGAGAAGACGTGAAGAAAACCTGAAATTGAGTTACAGAAATGTTGCTAAGCCCTTTCCACTGGGAAAGCCTCAGTAGCAAATTCCTAGAGAGCAGTTTTATCCTGAATATATTTGTTTTATGAGAACTTCAAGCATTTTTTAAGGATTGCAGCCTTAGGCATTTTACTTTATGCCATGCAAACCATGTGAAGTCAGCAGATAGATAGCAAGCATTGGCACCCCCTTATCTATGTTAGATCAGACAAAGTTTTGTGGTCTCTGTGCGGGAAGCCAAGGAGCAATTACAAAATACTACGTGTTTCCTTTTTCTCTACTAGTAAGAAATATGTGTGCTAACGTCACCTTGATTCAGAGCTGTGGAGTAGCTTTTCTTGCATATTTTGAAAGGACTTTCTGTATGTGAGTTACAGGTCTGAGATTCCTTTTGAGAAGGCAGAGCACTGAAACACTGGCATGCGCTATACGTACAAATACTCTTCTATCACATCCTGATGTAGGAGATGTAATTTAATAGCTGAGCTTAGTACAGGGCAGGTTGATTTTTATTTTTATTTTCTTCTTCATTTTCTGGGAGCCCACAGCTTCCACATTCTTTCAAATAACTTTCCCCTTTTTAATCTAGTTATGCTCAGTTTAGCAAAGCTCTGAGCTTGGTGCCCCGTAGGTACATGCCCCTACCCTGTGGTGAACGCTGTACCAGAGAGCAGAACAATGCTACCACACTTGTTTGGGGTTTTGG